TCACCTCTAGTAAATCTGTGTACATTTGAACTATCATCATTCTTTCTCTTGACTTTTCCCCCATTAACTTTATCCCTCTTAATTCCTTCCTCCCACACTTCTCTGCTCATTTCTTCCAAAAGTTCTCATACCCTTCTCCAACCCAGTAAGTCAATCCCAAGTCTTTTGGTTCAAGACAGCAATCAGGCTGGTGAGATGCTCTGCCTGCACCTCCAAAATCTCAAACAGTACCTTTTCCTGTCTTCCTGGTGGCTTCATCATTCTCATTGTTGCCACCTCCGCTGTAACTCCTGCTGTCACCTTTTTCCTTTGTTTCTTCTCCACCTTCATCTGTCTCCAGATCTTCATTGCCACTCAGCTCTTTCCACCTCATACTTAGTTGCCACAACTGCCATTGTTTTGATCTTCAGTTCTCCCTCCTTCACTCCTTACGCTCCAACTTTGTTGATCCCTTTCTCTGCCTTTAAGGCATAGATCAGCCTTATAATGCTGATGGAAACCTACCACAAGGGCAGTCCAGGACTACTCATCTGAATTAGACAGTAGTGCCAATTTCACACAGTCCCCACTCAGCGCCAACTCCTTTTCAAGTCATGGTAAGCCACAACATTGCATACATTTGGACTTCCTCTTCACTCCCATAGTTGAGCTGCACCTTTCTCCCCATTACCAGTGATTTTTTCACCAGCCTTAAATGTCTGGCAAATGTGACCAGATAGGGCCCTGAACAGATCAGTCAGAATCCCTCTATCAGCTCCTCTCTCAGCCTGTCACATATGAATAGTGTGGCCCCACCCTCCATGAGGTGGAGTCAGTCCAGGTTACCCTACACTTCATCTGCATATAAGTTTTCGGAGGATCCCAGGACTTGTGACAAAGAACATCCCATTCCAGTCATGAGTGGGAGATGAGGGGGCTAATTAGCACACAGATCCTTTGTGATGAGGTAACCTAGAGTACAAACACATGCACACTGAACAGTGCTGAGCTGTGGTGTCACCACAGCTTGAAATGCTGTCGACTGGTGAGGCTCTGCCCAATAATCAAAATGGTAAATCATGAACCTACAGATGCATCACAAGCAGGTCCAGGGAGGTGAACCTTCCCCTCTATGCAGTGCTGGTCAGGCCGCAGTTGGAGTACTGCACTTCAAGAGGGATGTGGCTAACCTTGAGAGGGTCCAGAGGAGGGCCACTCGCATGGTCAGGGGGCAGCAGGCCAGGCCCTATGTAGATTAAAGGGCCTGAATCTATTCAGCGTCCACAAGAGAAGACTGAGAGGGGATCTGGTGACCATCTATAAACTCACCGGGGGGACCAGCGGAAAATAGGTGAGGCTCTGTTCCCCTGGGTACCACCTGAGATAACAAGGAATAATGGCCACAGATTGATTGACAGCAGAATCAGCCTTGATATCAGGAGGCATTACTTTACAGTTACGGCTGCCAGGCTCTGGAATGGGCTCCCAAGGGAGGTGGTGCTCTCCCCTACCTTGAGGGTCTTCGAGAGGAGGTTGGATAGATATCTGGATAGGGTATTATGATCCCAGCATTCGTTCCTGCCCAGGGCATGGGGTCGGACTTGATGATCTGTTCAGGTCCCTTCTGACTCTAGAAACTATGAAACCTTTTGGTTTTAGATTACTATCACGTACCATTTCTACAAGATATAGTATATTTACTTGACTATAAAATGACCCCCCAATAATTAGATTCTGTATATAGAAATCTTATACATTTATTATTTTCCAGGTATGGAATCTAAATATTAAAGTATTGTCTTGAATCCCTCCTGGCCTCAATGTTACAGCAGAGAAAGCAGTGGCTGGGAAGGGGAGGGTCAGGTGTTCCCCTTGTCCTCTGCCCTGGCCACTTCTCCCCACTCTAGCCTTCCTACCCCACCAGTTTCCCACAGCCTTTGCCACCCCCCCACTCTCTGCCTCTTTTCCCCAAACTCTCCCCACTTCCTAGTCTCTCCCTCTTTCCTCCTCTTCTTTCCCCCTAGTCTCTGCCTCTTTTCCCCCTGCTCCCCAGTTTCTGCCTCATCCCTCAAAACTCCCTCCAGACTCTGCCTCTTCCCCTCTCACCTTACTGTCAGACCCTGTTGGGGCTGCTCTGTCCCAGAGTACAGCACATGGAAGCTCTGCCCTTACTTGGCCATGCAACAGTGTTGATGCTGCTAATTCCTCAGGCAGGGGAAGAAGTTTTCATTTGTTCCTTGCCCAGGAGAGACCCCAGCCAGACCTGGAGCAGAGCTGTGCACAACAGTGAGTGGGAGGGAAGGGATTTGGGAGCAGTGGTGCGGGGGAAGGACAGCGGAGCAGAAATTTCCGGCCTAAGTGGACGGTGCATGGCAACTAGCTGCTGTGGGTCTGACTCTGGCCCTGACCCAGGCTCAGGATCAGAGTCAGAGCTGCAGAATCCACCTGCTCCCCTCTCCTCTTGGTATGCAAATGTAAGACCAGGGGCTTCCCCCTCCACCCCCCAATGACTGGGAGGAAAAACTTTGTCTTTTATCCAGGTAAATATGATAAGTGGATACAAAAGTGCTGCTTAAAAGCGTGTTTTGAAGGACCTGTGCTAAAAATGACAGCAGTTAGTTAAAAAAAAAAAAAAATCACCTGCAGTAGTTCTGTTTGAACTAAGTCTATGTTTATTTCAAGGTCAGTTTTTTTTCAAATTTGCCCCTCACTTCCACGTGTTTAGGGAGACCAGGACCTGACAGTAAGGAGGAAGGAAAGGACTGCAGGGGGAAGAAGTTGCCGGGGTAGAGGGAAGGAGGGCAGAGGGCAAATTTGACCCACCTAATTTATTTTCCCTTTTGTAGCAGTAGTAGGGGGATAAAATTCAAGGCAAATCTCCAATACTTAGATTCTATACCTGGAAAATTATAACACATTTATAAAACTTCCGTATACAGAATCAAATTTTTGGGGGGGGGGGGGTCATCCTATATTCAGGGTCATCTTATATTCAAGTAAATGTATATAAGTGTTCGTGTAAACAATTCAACAATTCTATTGTTATAAGGATATATTCTTATGTAAATGGACATCAGAAAAGAATAAGCCCGTTTTTCCTCTTCAAAGGATAATGCTCAACACTGATGGCAAAAATAGGTCACTGATGGCAAACATTAAAGAACTAAAATTCTAACAGCAATAAAAACATGAAATAAGAGTTTTTATTTCCACTTTCATAATAGAGCAGTAGCAGCAATGGGAACAGAGACAAAGCAGTATATTACGATAAAAATCAACAATTCATTTAATTAATAACTTGATGTGTCCACCATTCAGAAACAGAAGACGGGCTTTAAGGTGAGTGAGACACCTAAAAAAGCCAAGTGATTTTTCTGACATGGTGTCCCATTACCAGCAGAAGTCCAATTATAATTGAAGACAAATTTAATGAGATACAGGGTGATTACTAGAGACCAGCAATTTAGTAAGTTTTTATTTAGTATGCCTGGGAAGCATGAACTGAACAAATGCTGAGAAACCTTATAGTTCCTACATATAGTTTAAGAACTGCCTAGTGGGGGCTACTTTTTTGGGGTTTTTTTTTTTTTTTTGAGAAAAAGAAAAAGAGCTAAGGGCCATGATTTATTTCTCAGTACAGAGGTAGAGTAATCCTCATGCACAGCAGGAAGCATACCAATTTTTGGAGGACCATTATTCTATTTGGATTTCTTTTTAAATGAACTCATCAGCATACCTGGAGCCTAAAAGAAGATTAGAGATTTGAAGGTCATTCCTTTATCCTGTCCAGGGGGGAAAGGAATACTCTATGTTGTCCAATTATTTTTGAAGCATTCAGAACGTCAAAAAGTTTAAGTAATGACCAACAGATGCAACTGTTGTCGCAGGAGAGCATCAAATATGATATTCAAGGATCTATGGTATGTGCCAATTTGGTAGTCATACCTACTATGCATAATATCTACAGCATTCAAATATTCCTTTTACATATAAATTTTTGCTGTTATACCATAGAAGACTAAAACAGACACATACAAATTGCAGTGTCAGAAGTAATTTGTGAATTAACTGAATTAATTCACAAATTCATTGTATATGCAAACTGGAGTAAATGTTACTCCTTCTAACTAGGCTCCCTATTTCAGTAGATATACCTATTTAAAAAACAAAAAACAAAAAAACAAAAAAAAACACACCACACTTTCATGTCAAGTACTAAACCAAATTTACAACTTGGTATTAATTTCTTCGTAGTGCCTCCTTGGAAAATAAAAGAAGCCAAAACATTCAATTCACAAATCGCATCTCCAGAAGCAAATATTACATAACAAATGAGTAACTGTTAGAGTAAAGCAAAAGCTATGTAGATCCTTGACTCCTTTCTAAGCCACAGGATACAATTAATTGACTGAATGAGAAATCAAGGATGTGTCACATGCATTTTCTCACATTCTCTTCATTTTCATATTAAAATATTTTCGACGATAGACTGCTGTTACACAGGGATGAGGAGAGCTACTCATTTAAATTTAAAGTGCTATGAAATTCTGCTACTTCTTGATATCTAAGGAACAAAATAAACAAGTATATTATTTTAAAAGTGTTAGATGAATCAACAGCATAACAGCACATGAATTCTTACAAAGATGTGAATAATTTAGAAGGTAAATCACTTTCAAATTCAGATTAACACCTCTAAAGAGCAGGGTCTTGTGCATTATTATCCAAGGATATCTAGAGAACATATATCATTTCTCTAACCACTAAACTGACCATTGAGTCATACAAACAAAGCTGTGAGAAAGTTGATGTGGCATAAAAATGCTGCATTTAGAAAAAGTTTATCAATCAGATATCACATCATATATCTGTCCACTTACATATAGCACTTGTTAATTCTGTACCTATTAAATATATTATTTTATTAATCCTGAAAAAGCAGATCCTTCAGTAAAACATTGTACAAAAAGTAGTGATGTTAAACAACAGCACTACTAGCAAACTGTTCTTTCCTTTCTTACCTTCATATGTCTCTAATATGTGTACAGTGTCACCTATTTGTAAAGAAAGTTCATCTGGTCCCCTGGAGTCATAGTTATATAAAGCTGGGAAAGGGTGGGGAAGGAAAGGAGGGGAAAAAAAGAAAAAAGAAAAAAAAAAACTATTAATGCCACAAAACAGCATAAATTTGATTTTAATTCCTACACATCTGACAGTGATTTCTAAACAAATTACTGCTACCCTCAGCCTTTTGATGCAATTCTTTAAACTATTTCACTCCAGCTCTGTTCTAAGCCATTACTACTTTGCCTCAAAATATAAATAAATAAATAAAATACATGAAACCGGCCTTATAGAAGCCCAACATTTCACCCATTTCTAACATCTTTGCTCTTGCTTTCCTGGACTTCAGCAAGGCCTTTGACACTGTCGACCACTCCATCCTCATTAAAAAACTAGGCGACTATGGCATTGATGCCTACAGTCAGACAGATTGCAAATTGGCTGAAGAGTCATACTCAGAGGGTGGTGGTGGACGGCTCATATTCGACCTGGGGGGGAAGTGGGCAACACAGTCTCCCAGGGCTCGGTCCTTGGGCCCGCACTGTTCAATTTCTTTATGAGCGATTTGGACAATGGGGTGAAAAGCAACCTGTTTAAATTTGCTGATGATACCAAAATTTGGGGTGAGGTGGGCACGCTAGTAGGGAGGAAAAGACTGCAAAAAGACCTGGATAGGTTACAAGGGTGGACTAACAAAAACAGGATGTGTTTCAATACTGACAAGTGCAGGGTGCTGCACTTGGGCAGTAGTAACCAGCAGCACCCTTATAAGATGGGAAACTCCCTTCTCTAGAGCACGGAGGCAGAAAGGGATCTTGGAGTCATTACTGACTCCAAGATGAACATGGGCCGACAATGCGAGGTCACGGTTGGCAGGGCTAACCAGACCCTATCGTGCATCCACAGGTGCATCTCAAGTAGGTCCAAAGAGGTGATCCTCCCCCTCTACACGACACTGGTCAGGCCACAGCTGGAGTACTGTGTCCAGTTCTGGGCACCCCACTTCAAGAGGGATGTGGACAACATTGAGAGGGTCCAGAGGAGGGCCACCCACATGATCCAGGGACAGCAGGGCAGACCCTACAATGAGAGGCTACAGGACCTGAACCTGTTCAGCCTTCACAAGAGAAGGCTGAGGGGGGACCTGGTGACCATCTATAAACTCATTAGGGGGGACCAGAAGGGTTTGGGTGAGACCTTGTTTCCCCTAGCACCCCCTGGGATAACAAGGAATAATGACCACAAGTTGTTGGAAAGTAGGTTTAGTTTAGACATCCGTAAGAACTACTTCACAGTAAGGGCGGCTAGGATCTGGAACCAACTTCCAAGGGAAGTGGTGCTGGCTCCTACCCTGGGGGTCTTTAAGAAGAGGCTTGATGCCTACTTGGCTGGGGTCATTTGAGCCCAGTTTCCCTCCTGCCCAGGCAGGGGGTCAGACTTGAAGATCTACAAGGTCCCTTCTGACCCTACTTCTATGATTCTATGAAAATATTGTTCGATATTTTCAGAGGCTTGTCTCTTTTCCAGAATTAATAGTTTTGTGTCAACCTTACAAAGTTATTCTAAAACTTATAGCATCATTTCCAGTCATTCCTTATAACTGGTATATTCAGTTAAGCTCATAAGATGTTTTAGAAAGTGTTCATTTATTAACTTAAAACAAAGTACCCTAATATTCCCAGAATAATGAGGAATGGTGTACACCTCAGGACTAACTGAAAGATAGATTGAATCTATCAACATATATGCTAAAAAAACCCAAACATGATTGAATAATTATATGCATAAAATAGACAAGTTGGTATGAGTTGCTAAATTGTATTGTAAGGCATGGCTAACATCCCTCATTCCAGTTTATTCCAGTCAAGTTCTTATGGTGTCAAAGTGCCTAACAGCTGATAAACGTTGTCCTGTAACAGCCCCTTATCAAGAAGATTTGTTAAGGAATAAAATGAAAATACTTGCATATAGTAAAAGTGATTTTTCCCTATTGCTAAAGGAAACCCAACTTGGATAATTTACCAAAAATGCTCATTTTCACAGACATTTCTTGTATTCCCCAACAGTTATACCCAATAAGAGGGGCAATAACTAAACTGTAAAAATCCAAGTACATTCTTGCTCCCAACATTGAGTTTACAAAGTCTTTGGTCACATAATGCAGTATAAATAGTAAGAGGTATGCCTATGAGTAGAGATGTCCATACTTAGAGTCAATAGCTGATAACAGGTATTAAACAATTGCTGACACAAAAGGGATGGGAGGGGGGAGGGAATTCAGTGTGCATAGGTTCTCTCAAAAAACAGACAGGTTGTACTCCCCAAAACAATCTTTTTATGTTGGCCGCATGTCAAGACCATTGGGTGCAGCTCCCCACTGTAACGAGAACTTTGCAAGAAGTGTTTCAAGTGACAACAATCCCTGGACGATACAGAAGTTCATTGTTGGTTCCGGGGAGGGGGAAGACCTAGCTGTTGGCTGCAAGCCTGCAGCTGGTTTCCCCTAGCAATGGCTCCTCCTCCTTCCCAGCCCACCTGTATTCAGAATGCGAGGGGCAAAAGAGAGCAAAGGGAGCTGGTTCTAGGGGTTCCCCAACCAACGCTGGAGGGTGGACTGAAGCGCCTCGGGGGGGGAGGTGCTCCAATCCACCCACCCCACCCTCCAGCACTGGCTGATGAAATACCAGACTGAATTCTCTCCGATTCCTTTCCCCGCTCCCATTCTGAAAACAACAGGTTCGGAGACAGCACAGACAGAAGTTACTGAAGACAGTTTTGAAACATTTTCATCTGAACCCACATGCAGTGAGGATTCAGATTATGTGGGATCAGGCCCCTGTCAAGAGCTTTGCAGCCATGCACTTGTCTTTGGTCACAGCAGTAGAGTACTCTGAGGCCAGACTGGGTGAAAGTTTGTCATTTCTGTCTGCGCCCTTTGTGCTCCTGAACATGAGAAGACTGGCTTTTATCGCATAATGGTTCTCAAGAATGAGGGAAGTCCTTTGGATTTGCTAATTTTGTTGAAGTGGATCTTTAAATGTCTGAAAAGTACTGGTGATATTGTTGCCATTGCTGGGTAATGTATTCATACTGTATTTTTATTCAAAGCCTCAAGATTTTTAAGAAGAAAACCCTCAGGTTTATTTTTCCTTGGGGAATCTTATTTGTAAATACTGTAATTTCAAAAGCTTTGGGCTCCCTCCTCCAACCAACTATGGAAACAGTACTATGGTTTCTAGTTCATTGATGTAAAGCCATGTGTCATGCTTCATTAATAGTCTGCACTTCTTTTTCTTGGGGGGGGGG